CATTTAATAATAAAATTTCCATTATATGATCTATTTTATACATATACTTCATTATTTCTTATTTTTATTTTAGATAAAAAATTATAATCAAAATAATTATTTTTTTAATTTTTTCAATACTCAAAGATGTAAATAAGATACTTTAGATTATAAAAAAATATTTTTATTCTTAAAAATTTTTATTTCTTAAAAATTTTATCTCGTTTATACATTTACTTATAAAACTTTTTTATACTCATCTAATGCAATTTATTATCTACCAAAACTTTTACTAAAATAAAAATTCATAATCAATGAAAAATAATTCTTTTTTATAATGAAAAATATATCTAATCTATCATTTTAATTATAAAAAGTTTTTCTAAAAGCAAGTTAAATTACACAATTTTTATCTTCCATTCACTTATTTAATTCAATCTATCAGATTTTAAAATTTTCATTAAAATAAAAAACTATAATCAATCAAAAATTATTCTTCTTTATAATGAAAGTTATGAAAAATTAATTTTGATTTTTGCTAAAAAACAATTTTAACTATAGAATTTCTATTTATCTATCTTATCTTTTTGACATTTTCACTAAAATAAAAATTTCTTATTTAATAAAAAAAATTTTTTTTCCATAATAAAAAGTATATCCACTTATAAAGAGTCGATTCTATTCTCTAGAAATAAGTTCAATTATAAAATTTTTTATTTTACATTCATTCAATGCAATCTATTATTCTTTAAAATTCTTATTAAAATAAGAAATTATAAAAATTATAAGAATCAATTAAAAATAATTTTTCTTCATAACAAATGATACATTAAAGTACAAAAAATCGATTTCAACCTGGCATTGTCTTTTTTTTACAAATGTTACAATTTTTACAATATGTCTTTTTGATGATTGCTATAATGTAAAATGGAATTAAAAAATATATAAATATTGTTTCTTTTTTTGTCACAATTTAAATAACATGTATCTGATAATGTTTTATAATGAATCATTTTTATCTAATAAAATATAAATTCACTTTTTATTTTAACTATATTTTATGAATCAAATACAAGAAAATACATTTATATTATATATTATATATTATATTAATATTACATTATTAATACCACAGTATTTTTATAATTGAGCTAACATAAATTATATTAAATTAAATATTAATAAACAAATTTATTAATGTTATATAGAAGCAGTATCTCTAAGATAAATAATATTATAAAAATTTGGCCTATTGATTACTATATCATATGATATTATCATATTTACTCTAATAAAGATTATAAATAATAATAAATAATAAAATAATAAAATAATATTTATATCTTATAATGTTATATCTTATGAAATTATCTTATGATGTATTATATCTTATGAAATTTGTCATAAAATTAAACTTAAAAATAATTTTTAAAAGTATAGATATAAGTATATAGATATAAATACATAATAATATTGAACATTAAAATGTAAGTATTTTTAGCAATATTGAAATGTTTATGGGATATAAATATTTCCAATAGTAATAATTGGATATGAGATATATAATAAACAATTACAAAATTCTCATCTTATATTTACAAAGTAATCTACCTTTTAAAACTTTCATTAAAATAAGAAATTTTAATCAATTATCAATTATTTTTCTTTATAATGAAAAATACATCCACTTACAAACAGCCGATTCCATCTTCTAGAAATATGTTCAACTACAAAATTCCCGTCTTACATTCACCAGAAACCGGAACTTCCTCAGCAGACCAAATACGTCAACTTCCTCTGCATTCTTGGCGCACTTTCAACTGCATGGATCCATCTGACAGAAATGCACGAAGCGGATTCGCGCGTGGCACGATACGCTTCATGAATTCCGGAGGATTAGAAAAACGGCTAAGTTCACCATTCATGCAATATCGATTACACTTATCGACAGAGCATGTGTGTATCGCAGTCCACCGATATTTCCTTTAACTTATCCCCATTGTACAAATACTTTCACCGATGAGATCTTTCTCACCAGGAACCAATAAATATAAAATTAAATGAAATGATCATAGACCATTATACTATAAGTATTAATGCCATTAAATTAAATGAAATGATCATAGAGCATTATACTATAAGTATTAAAATTAGTAATTTTAACAAGGAATTATAAGTTGAAATTAGATAAAAATTTAAAGAAAAAAATGAATTTTACAAATGAAGGAAGTAAAATTAAAAGAAAGAGTTAATAAACTATAAATATTTACGCATATGCATTAGAGCGGAACGAAATGAGAGATAAAATTTTTTTCGTAAATTTCAATTGTGAAATTGTTTTCTATATAAATTGTTAAAATATGCATTTGATTAACAAATTTTTTTTATACTGCGAAGTATTTTAAAAATTATTTTTATTGATTTCAAATTTTTTTGACAATTTTTCAGTAATTTTTTTTTTAATATAGTAATTTAATTTTTTGTTTTCAATAAATAATGTTTATTTCTATGTAATTTTGGATAATTTTGGATACAGAATTTATTTTTGTGAATTTTATAAATTTTTATTTGAAAACTTACACTTAAGTAATTTTTGTTTTTAGCAAATAATGTTTTTTTCTATGTAAAAATAATTTTGAATAATAAGATTTAAATTAAATTTAGAGAAGATTGAAGAAAACTATCATTTCTTAATTAATTTATAAAATATCCTAATTTACTCATTTATATCATGATCATTATTATATATATATAATATTCATTTATATTATATATAATATTCATTTTAAAATATTAATAAATTTAATGCAAGTCTAAAAAAATAAGAAAAACGAAAAATATTATAATTAATAATAAATAATAAATAATAAAAATATGATAAAAATAAAGAATTAAAAAATAAAAAAGAATATGTTTAAAATATGTTGATTTTTTTGTTCCACTCTATGATAAGAAATAAGTATGTAATTTTATAAGAAATTGATTAGATATGAAATCTAAATAAAAATTTTATTATAAATTTTGATAAAAAAATGAATTTTATAATAATTATAAATTATAAAAATAAAAAATTCTGATACATATCATCTTTTTATCACTACTGTATGGAAAAAAAGAATTCATTTCAATGAAAAAATTTAAAACGTATTATAAAGAAATTCCAGCTTTAAATTATCGAGAATTATCGAGAATTATCGAGAATTATTTAATACTTCATAATTACATTTTTATCGTAAAATAATATGAACTTTATTCTAGAGAAATAAATTTTTCAAACTAATCCAATTAATTATTTTCCTAAAGCTCCAATGTCCTATCAATGATGCAATTTCAACTTCAAATTTTTAGCACGATAGTAACATTAATGTAACGATAGTGCTAATAACTTTTAACAATATTATCGCTATTAGATTCTATTCTAATCTCTAAAAAATCCTTATCATAAAAATTATTATAAATGTTGCAAAAAATTTTTTCTAATTTAGTGATATCTATAATTTTATCGGAATTTTCATTGATAAAATAACAAATATAAAAGATTGAAGAAAATAATGAAAAAATATTTAGTGTTCATTGGAAATATATATATATTTCATAGATCATAGATTAAAAAGGATAAATATTGTTTCACGATTCTAATCTGCAAAATATTATTTAAAATTATATATGTTTAGATATATTGAGATTGAAAGATTAATCTTGATCGAAATGCGAGTATAAGGTAAAATTGTAATTATTGATTATTCATATTTTATTAATTTTATTAATTTAAACTATTTTAGTTTTTGAATATTTAAAATATTGTTAATAGATGAAATGAGTTTTTTTTTTCTTATTATTATTGAAACTTATTATTAAAATATATAAAAACATTATTTGTAATAATGTTGTAATAAAAATAGAAAAAATAAAAAAATTATATTATAATTTAAACCACTTTCTTATTATTGAAATATATCTTATTATTTAAATATATCTTAATAATATTTTAAATATATCAAAAAATCATAAAAATATTTAGTTAATTTATATTAAAATTGTTAACAATATCTTTAACAATAACTTTTGAATAAAGAAAATAAAAATTATAGTTATTTTATTTAGAATTATATTTTGATTTTATCAATATCTTAACATATTATCAATATATTGAATTATTAACAATATAATAATGTTATCGATTGTTATGGATAACATATCGATATATATTGTAGAATTGTAGAATTCAAAGTTGTAAATGTTGCACAGTTACATCGTTACACTAATAATAATGAACGCAAATAATTACGTAATGAATTAATTTAAGCATTATGTAAAACGGATTACTTCAATATAGAAAGTATTACATTTAATTGCAAATTTCTGCAATAATGTCATTTTAAGCTATCGATTGATTAAATCATGTATGATAAAGCGTATGATGAAGCGACATCATGTATGATATGATTTGAATAATTTCGAAGTCGAAATCATAATTTATAGCTTTATTATATGAAATGATATAGTAAATAAATTGAATAAATTGAATAAGTTGAATAAATTGAATTTGTTTTAATAATAAGAATAAAAAAATATAGAATGCTATTTAAAAAAAATTATTTTCAAATTTTTTTCGCTATTTCATCTATATCAAAATTATTTATATTTTTATAATGCGCTTTTTATAACTTTTATAAACTTTTATAAAAATATTTAAATTTTTAATAGCTTCAATCTTTTTTTATAATTAAAAAATATTAATTTTTAAATAGTATAAATGATCAAAAATTTTAATTTTAATATACATAATAAATCACATGAATTACAAACAATCCATGTATTATTATTATTAATAATTATCTGATTCAACAATTATCGCTAATATTTGAAAATTTATCAATATTAATTTTTCAAACAAAAAAAAAAAACAGTTAAGTCTAAATTCTTTCATTTATTCAACAAGTCAATGATCTAAGTTATAGTTATAAACTCGACATAAGTATTCGTGCGAATAAAATAATTTATAAACGCACTTCACTTACCCCTTCTCAATTTCAGGGTGACGGGATCCGACGAGAGCCGCAGACATTTCAGCACTGGAACACAAAATGACGAAATACCATTAGAAAAGATATCATATCAAACAAAAGATTGAAAAAATAAAAAGAGAAAAAAAAGAGAAAGTAAGATGAAAAGTTCAGTTAGATCGAGCTATTGTATGTTCCTCGCGTGTTTGCAAGCGGAATTTAAGGACGTTCTCCATTTTGTTGTTTTTGGAAAAACTGGTTTACTCTCGTGCTTGCATTAACGAGAGAAGGATGAAATGCTTCCTGGCGAAAAAGATAGGTCGCAATTTCAGAGTAAGGTTAAATCGTTTCGCGCGAAACTTGGTTTTAAGCCGAGCAAAATGGAAAATTTAACTTGACGCGTTAATAGAACATTGTGAGCAGATGAATTTAGGATGAGAGAGATGGGAGGAATGTGTGTTTAGCGAGATTAAGATGCTAGACGGGGTGGTTTAATTAAACGTTCTGTTTGTCTAGAAACTTTTCTTAAAAATATATTTGATTACTAAAAATTGTTAAAATGCTAGAGATTTTTATGAGGATATTGCAAATATATAATATGCAAAAATATTCATATTTTATATAAATTCAACTAATAAATAATATTGTTTTTTATTTTTAATTGTTTTGTTTTAATTGTTTAATTTTGTTTATTTTTCTTTAACTATATTTTATTAAAACTAAATTCTGTTTTATGTACGAATGTAAATCATAATAGGTTATATGAATCAATTCTTTTATTATACTTGGAGAAGATGAAATCATTCCTTAAAATCTCGATATTATTATTATTATTTTTTAAATATAACTTTATACAAAAGTAGAAAAAAACTAAAATTATAAGTTGTAAAATACTTAAATTTTAATGCTTTATTATTATAAAAAATATTTGAAATCAGAATCAGAAATTGTATTCAAACACGAAAAAATGATAAAGATTTGAAAGTTAATTTCATATTCTTCAAAGAGATTTTCTATCGAAAAATAAATTTTTTTTTTATATATAATTCATTATAATTTATATATATATATATATATATATATATCAATTTTCATTAAAATCAGATTTTTTAAGATAAGTATCTTCTTGTAAGATAACATGTGAAAATTTTTATGATTGTAGCTAATCTTATTTTTTTATTATATTAAAATTGTTTAAAGAACAAAATAAAAAATAATATTCGATTAATAAGATAATACTATAAATAATATTTTATGATATTATATTAATTATAAATATTTAAAAATAAATGTTTTAGAAATTTGATTTCAATAAAAAGATAATAATAATTTATGTTTTTAATTTATAATATTTTTCAAGCACATTTTAAATCTTTTTTTATCTTTTTTATTTTTTTAGTTAAAAAAATTTTTTTCTTTTTAAAAATTTATACTATTATAACTATAAAATATTTTATATTGAACAAAATATTTAAATAATAATTAACTAATAATAAAAAAAATAGATGCAATATATTTCACGTTAATTAAATTGTTTACTTTTTCTCTCAATCAAGTATCAATAGTAACTTTCCAATTCATCGATTATCCGTTTATTAAAGTTATTTTTTTTATTCTTTATTATAAATTGCAATTGTATTAATTTGATTTTACAAAATTTTATATTAATAATTTATTAAAAATTTATTACATTTTATACTAATAATTAATTATATTATTATAAATAATTCTTTGCAACTGAAATGGATTTTTAAATTGATATTATTTATAGAATAATCTGATATAAGAGAATTTTAACCATATATAAAAATAATTTAGATTAGAATTTAATGTTGCAATAGGAATATAGTTTAATGTAATTTTCTCTAAATAAACGCGTAGCGGTTATATAAAATATATAAAATGACTTTTATTTTTTTTTAAATAGAATCATTTAATATTTAGATGAATATTTATCACATAAAAAAATATACTTATTAATATAAAAAAATTACACTAGTAAAAGAAATGCATCACAAATTAATTAATAGATATTATTAATCATTCTACTGCAATTCCCACAAATTGTCATATTATATATATATTATATAATAGCAATGAATATAAAATACTTATTTAAATAAACATAGCTTATATAAACATAATGTATGTTATAAATTATAAATAAATAAATATAAATAAAATTATAATATATATATTATAAATTAAGTTATGTTTATTTAAATAAGTATATTATGTTCATTGTTATATACATATATATATATATATATATATATATATATATATATATATATAAAATTTTAAATTTTGAAACAATAAATTTAAATTGGATTTTATTTTTACTTTAATAATTTAAGAAAACAAATTTATAGAAAAATTTGATTTGCAAAAGGAAAATATATAATTAATTAAAATTATATATACGCAATATCAAATGTGAAAAAAATAATAAAAATTTACATTATTTTTTCCACAAACAATTCTTCAAAACAAAAATAAGTAAAAATCGCTATTATAAGCTTAGAAAATAAAAAACATATTAATAAATAGCAATCTTATCTTCTATCAAAAAAGGATAAAACCCATCGAAAATTGTCATTCTTAAAAAAACTCAACATATCGAAAAAAGTCTCGAAGTCCCAAAGAACAAATTTTCTCATTCCTAAGACTTTCGTCAAACTTTCACTCTCCCATCTCCAAGTCGCATGTTTCGAAGGAATAGATATCTGAGGCATCCTTCGTTTCCGAGCAACAGTTCGGCCAAGTTTACCAATTATATCCTCGAAACGCAAACGCGGCGAATCGAGGAGACGCTGAACAGTTCACGGTTCACGAGAGTGAAATATTGCCTCGTGCCTCTGTACGTGATGTCAGCTTGTCAAATTAAACGGGAACCAGGAGGAAATACGAGGCTGGTGCCCGATATTGCGCTGCCTCGGCTGCTTTACGCTTGGCTAGATGTAAACGTTCTTCCTTGTACTAACCATCGCGAAACAAGCATTGCCGTTGGAATTTTATTTCGTTATTTCCTACACCTTGACCGATCTTTTATTGTTCTTCTTATGTAAATCTAATCATGTAAATTTAAGTGTGTCGATTTATAAGAAATATTGTTCAATTAATAATAAAATAATACGAATTTTTTTATAAGTAAAATGTTGATGTAATAGAGATTTTTGGAAAATAGATTTTAGAAGAAAACTATAAAATAAAAATTAATATATCAAAAATTGAGACTTTTTAGTTATACAATGTATATTTGTTTAATTATATAATAAATAATTTAAACTTGCAAGATGGAAAGAAAAATAGTATTAATTAGTAAAAATATTATTAATAATATAATTATATAATATTATTATTAAAAATATTATTATTAAATAGTAAAAATAGTATTAATAGTAGATTATTTTTATCTTTGTCTCATTTCATCTAATGCGAATTTAAACTATTTATAATTTAATAATTAAATCTCAATTAATGTTTTTATATATAAATTTTTGTATATAAATTTTTATTTTGGCTTCTAAAATCTATTTTTCAAAAGTGTCTCAAATATCAAAAATGCTCCCGAATATATTAATATTTTGAATCATATCATAAGCTGGAAAAAGGTTTTGCAATATAATTTGTTGCATAGTATAAAAATAAATTTTTTTAGATTTGTTTTAAATATTATTATGACATTACATTTTGATCATTTAATTAAAAGAATAAAAGTGCATAAAATTATTATCTTTCTTTTTTAATTATCTTATTTCTTATTTTTTAATATTACATATAGAGTAATTAATATATAATTCAAATAATATTATTAACATCTAAAATTATAACGTGAAACTATAATTGTTCCAAACAAAAAGAAAATTTTATTCTCTAAGATGAAAATTCTAAATTTAGCTATTCTTGAAATATCATATTTTTCATTTTCGTAGCTTTTTTTTTTTTTTTTTGAATATTTCCAAATTTCAATTTTTCAATAGTTTATTTATCACAATAGCTTTAAAAATATGCCTAAGTTTATTTTATTATAGAACTTCAATGCAATATTCTTTTTTCCTTATTATATTATAAATTATCGACTTTCATTTTTTCATCATTATGATTTCTATCATTTATAATATATTCTTATTTCTGTTATTATTTTTATCTTAAAAAACAAGACAAGACCTAACAATTTTTCATTCAAAATAATGACAATACTCTTTTATTAAAAGTTTATCAAAAGTCAATTCTTCTGTATGTTTGAATTTCTTTAGGAAAAGAATATATGACATCGTTAACTCTATTGCCACTACTATATTAGAGATAGGTCATGTAACCAAGTTTCAAAACTAAGCATTATAAAATATTATGTAATTTTGAGAAAAGTATATCAAGAATAGGAAAATAAAAATATAAAAGCTTTATTTTTTAAAATAAAAATTATAATATTATTTATTAATAAGTTTTATTCTATAAAATGAAGATATATAATATTATTTTTTGAGATTACTGAAAAATAATTTTTCATTTAAAATTTAATAATCTTTAATTTTGATATTGAATTATTTTAACAATACAGTAGTATATAATTTGAGCTTAATTCCTGATTTTTTCTACTTTTAACATGATCTAATAAATAATATTCAAACATTTACAAATAAATTTTTTTTTAGTAATCATAAATAGGAATATTTTTTTAGTTTTCAAATTCTTAAAAGACTGTTTTAATCACGAATAAAAACTAATGAAAATTTAAATTTGAAATTATTGTACTAAATTTGATTAATTTTATTTAAAAAAAATCATAAGAATTTGCAAAAAACGTAATTCTTTTTTTATTTGAAGAAACTTTTATTGAATTTTTTTTATGCAATTTTTTTTTGCTCAAATTAACCCTCGCAAATCATATATATGTGATTTATTACAATTATCTGCAAGGATTAGTATACGTGATTTGAGTGTGCATCTTTATCATATATTTGTATTAACATAACATCTAATATTTTCTAGACAATATTTTATCATCTTTTTATCAATATCATCTGGATATGTATTTTAAAATATTTTATAATTATATATAAGAT